CGGTACACGACAAAAGCAGGACCTAAAATTCTGACAGTTGTCGAGTTCCAACCGTCTCGCCAAGTTGCAAGTCTGACACCAACGGATGTCAGTTTGGCGAAGCACTCCATCTGGAGTCAGCCTGAGTCTGGATGACATCCGTTGGTGTCAGACTTGCAAGTTGCACAAACCAGTGGAGGAGTCTAGCTATTACGTACGGGACCTACGGAGTCCTGAGTCCCGACCAGGTACCTACGGTAATATCGACGTACCGGTAACCTCTTGAGTTGGTGGACCGTGGGGTCCGGGCCCCGGGGGCCGTTGTCGTCGTGATGACATCATCAAATCCGATCTGATTTTGTACGGCACTCTGTCTCGCTCAGAACTCAAACCACAGGAGATAACATGCTACCGAGAGTCTCTAGGTACATGCAAAGCACCTGTACACTACGGTACCTAGATGGTGCTGATATTGGTACCTAGGACCTAACGTACCAGATTGTCATACCGGAAAATAATAAAGTCGAGACTTGTGTACACTTTCTGGTCCGGTACCATCAGTACTTGAATTAGTACGCGGCCATGGCCCGCGCGATAACCATAAACTTTAATAGTACCGTAATATGGATCTTAAGGTACTGAAAGTACTGGATTTCCGACTTAACCAACACTAAAACCCTAAGGACAAAATGACCTGCTCCGCACCCGAACCCACCCTAACCACCAAACTAACCCCACCCGTACTCGTGTACCTTAAGTTCCTTATTACTATTAAAGTTTATCCCTATCCCGCGGGGAGGACCCCGCCTGGGAGGGCGGGTGTGCACTGTGGACTCTGGACAACTTTGATCTCGATTCTCAGGACATTCCGGATGTGAGGAAACGACCGCCAGGGGTTCAGTTCTCCCCTATTGTGGAACCCCTCTTACAATGTCTACGAGATTTCACGCGGGGCCGCCTGGTGACAGTCCAATCAGAGCCGTTCGATGCAAATTCAATGTCAACCTAAGGGCCTAGATTCTTTGTTCCGGCACCGACGGAGTCGTACGTTACATACCACAGGTGTCGCCGGTCCCGAGATCGGGAAAGTTTCCTGAATCCTGATCGAGATTGGGAATTTTGTACGCTACCAGTATTCTCTACACCGGCCCTCCCTGGCAGCCACGGTCACGGTTTAATGGGCCCGGGGCCCCCGTCACATGTATGGCCTGTCAGTCTCAAACTTCCAAAGGCCCCGGGCACAGAAAACCGGAAAACCTAACCCAAAAAATAACACGCTTCCGCACGCATAGGTACCCACCCGGTACAAACACCAAATAGACCCTGCCTAATACCTAGCTGTAGTAGCCGTGCCTCGGGCAATGAATCTCAGGAACTCACGCTCGACTGTGAAGCGTTGAGCCAAAAGTGAGAGCCAAGTTTTGGTGATCATGGTCTCGCTGTATGCAAACCAGTCTTGACCCCACTGATTTGCGACATTATTCAACTTTTTAAAAAGTCATATCATGATTCATGCAGCCTGACCAATGTGGCGGATTGTGGCATTGCACTACTGAAAGATGTTCTTTGGTTGATATCCAATATCACCATGCCGGGACCATGTTCATGTCCCGATAGTCGCAACCGTACTTACATGATGCACAAATCACAATCCAATGGGTTCGACATCCACGTTATTGGACAACTAGTAAGCTGCTAATAGTTGGGGAAGTCGTGTAGTAGCCTGATAGGGGCTCCTCTGTTGACGTCCAAAGATACCCACATCGAAGGGACTTCTGCTGCAAGTTTCACAAACTCAAAGTCTTGTTGTCGAGGTCACGCGGTTACCAAGCATCTATGGGCGGTAGCTCAAACACCGACCGGTACGCCAGGTGCCCCAACGGATTCTCTAATTCCCCCGCCCAATCAAAGAGGGCGGCCCAAATGGGGTCGGCTCCCAGCGTGGCTGAGTCACCGATAATGATCAATTTCCGACGCGCCCGGGTGATGGCCACGTTAAGGCGCCGTTGATCCGCCAGAAACCCGACGGAGCCGGAGTCGTTGCTCCGGACACAGTCGAAAACGATGACGGCTTTTTCGCGGCCCTGGAGGTTAAGAAAGCTAGGATGTCACGTCACCCCCTCCTACCTTTGTGTAGCATCTTGATTTGTGCACTCTTTGCGTTCGAGCGCTTCGGTCACGTCTGAAACCGTTACGAAGGAGGAGCAAAATCAGACGAGATGTAAGGCCTGAATTGACACAAATTCTGGATTAGGAGTGTTCGATGGAGGAAGGAGGAAGCTACAAGAGCACGGCTTACGAAGCAAGACACCAATCATCATTTTGGTATCTAAAGTGCTCAACTCTGAAGAAATCCTGCTGAAAGCAAAGCTGGCTCTTTCCATCTGACGCACAGGACGCCCAACAAAAGGTCTCCAAGATCCGAATGCAGTCGACTTCGAAGAACTCAACGGATCGACAATCTGGTCAATGGAGATCCGACGGAAGGTAACTGGCTTCACACGCCGCGGCCTCAAAGATCACTCAGCTTCTGCATTCAACGGTTGCCATTCGACATTCAAAAGGAACGCGACATACCCCCGTAGAACCGACACGCCGAACTTGACCCCGTTCCTCATAAGTATTGAAGCACTTCTCAAGAAGGGCAAACAACCGCTGCCTCCTAGGGTGCGCTTAACCGCGAGCAATCGGCGCAGTCCACGCCGTGTGCACGAAGCTTCGGTCGGATTCGCAGCTAATGTTCGAGCGAAGACGAGCAAATGGGCAGCGGCATGTGCCTGCTGCGGAAGCTGCCACGTGGCGCACCTGGAAGCCGTCCACGGAGTCCACCTCCACGCCCGCGGCCACCTCGCCCGCCAAAAGCTCCCGCAGCAGCGCAACTTGGGCCGCGTACGGGGTCACCACGCCCACGTCAGCAGCGCCCAGGGATCCCCCTGGTAAATAAGGTCAGAATTCAACCCTCCTGGTTTGAGAAGACGGTTTGCTCGAAGTTTCCGCAGCAGCGTAACTTGAGCCGAGTAAGGGGTCACCACGCCAACGTCAGCAGGGCCCAGGGATCCCCCTGGAAAATAAGGTCAAGCACTTAACCCTCCTGGTTTGAGAAGACCGTTTGAATGAAGGCCCCGCAGGAGCATAACCCGGGCCGCGGAAGGAATCACGATGCCCACGTCAGCAAGGCCTGGGATCCCCCTGATATGTAAAAACGAAGAAGTCAGATCTCTGAAGTTTGATAACATCTGATTTAAAGATCGTGGATACTCGAACACCCGTCCTGCCGCGTTATCAAAAATGTGTCCAAGGAAACACATAAATACAGATCAAGGCCTCGATCATTCTGAACAAAGCATATCGCTGTAGCACAAGTTCGAATCCCTTCAAGCAGCGCGACTTGGGTCGTACGGGGGCCGGCGCTTCATGACGAGTATCCCATCTTCCCTGCTGCAAAGACTCCTCAACAACTTTCTCGAAGCATGACAAGAAGGAGGACGATCGGCGAGGAGCGAGAAGCCGCGGACATCCGAAAGTCATAAAGAGGGTAGGAAGCACTTGAGAGGAGATAGAAACAGGTTGGAACGAGTACCAGGCGAAATCATCAAATATGTGCGACCTCAATCGAAAAACATAAGCACGGCTTTTCTTTGAGCAGCCCACCAACGCGGCAGACCAACGTCCGCTTACCGATCCCGACCAGTTCTCGGACGACGCGGGCGGTCAGCTCCGCCTGCCCGGGGTTCGACGTCGAAAAGTCGGAAGCAGTGGCTTCCCCCCGGGCGCTCTCCTCTCCCTTCTCCTCGTCGAAGCCGGCCCCGGCTGTGTCGATGACTTCGAGCCAGCAGCCGTCCCGAAGGGTCGCCAAAACCTGCGGAAGTGGGGGTAAGGTGCCCGGTTTAGGAGAGCTCTGGTTGTTGCAGGTTTGATCTCTTCGGCCGGTTTGGAAGCTGGAATGGCTGACGCTGTTGCGCAGGCAGGGAAAGCTTCTTAGAAGAGGCTGAAAGCATTTTAGAAGCTTCGTGAATCTTGAATCTGTTGCCGAGGACGAGAAGCCATCCAGAAGAGCGATGGGAGTGTTCCCGCATAACAGGCACCGTTGATGAAGCCATTGCCGAACGGATTTCCGTATATGCAATCGAAGAAAAGCTTGCAAAGACGCTTGCTTCCACACAACCCGCTCTATATAAATCCGAGACTCGTACCATTCATTGCTCACGCCGCCCGTTGACGGCAGCCCAGAGCAAGACCGATTTTGGATCACAGTGCTGACCTGGCGTGCCCCAAGCTGACGTCACCCACCTCGCTGCTTCCGTTAAGAGGTTCCGTTTCTTCCGTTGGCGCTCCGGCCCGCAGCCCGCCGCCGTAGAACGCCGCCGACGGGAAGGCCATCAAGGCGCTCGGCATGCGGTACTGCGTGCGGAGCGCGGCGGAGTAGCGGCCTGGACAATCTTCCCTGTGACGGGAGTCGCGATCGTGGGCAAAGGAAGCTAGAAAAGCTGAGGCGGAGGATACTCGTGATGTTGGAGGGTGTGGAAAACATCTTGGGTGTGCGGTATGCGAGAACTTGGACATGCGGTACTGTGTGCAAAGAGCAGCGGAGTAGCGCCCTAAACAAAACCCCTGTGAGACGGGTACTGAGACTTTGGGCAGAGAATGCTGGAATCTCAGGCGGTGTCTACTTAGTATGTTGAAGAGGATCGGAAATTCTCTTAAAAGGCTGGGTATGCGGTAATGGATGCGAAGAGCAGCGCAGTAAGGCCCCAAACAGTACTCTCTAAGAAGTTGGGCAGACAACAAGTTCATAAGCAGGCAAAGGTAACCCACCGCTCGTGCTCCGTCTCTTCCTTCGCCAGCAGCGCTCCCCGGGCGGTTTCCAGCAGCCGCGTCTTTTCCTCGTCACCGCTGAATCGGTCAAAACTCGAGCCGAGCCCCCCGCCGTCCCGCTCCATCAGTTCCTCAAACAGAGTGGCGCTCAGACCGCCGCCCTTTTCGCTCGCGCCCTCTGTAAAAGAGGGCGTGATTGAGGTTGGTGTTTCTTATCGCCCGGAAGACAGCCACGTGGCTCGGGAATGTGAGGGCACAGTAACTAGCTTCACGGCCGCCACCTTACTCGCCCGCGCCCTCTGTAAACGAGTGCGTGATATGCTCCGAGATTCCGCTGTCGCATGTTTTATGGAAAGGGGACACGTGACCTGGACAGTTGGCGCCCGATTACTGATCCAAGATACAATGGATGCGTGCAGGGACGCAAAAAGCGGCCATGACCCATTTGCCTTGTCTCTTGGACTTTTCCGCAAACCGTGTCACCCGTGCACTGCACTTTGCATCGGTCAATTTTTGAGCAACGCTTCAGAATGCGTCCCACAAGATTGAACGGCTATGCTGCGCTCTCAATATGAAAGTTCTACGCAGATTGCAGAGGCCCATCAGTAGCTGTTGGATGACGGGAGATTCTCCTTTCTCCTTCCCGCCGCCCTGAGATTCCGTCTCAACTAAGCCACGGCGTCAAAACCCTCATTGATAGACAGACACAACGGCTGCTGACGTCACCATGTACGTCAGCATCGCGTACCTGCGATGACTGTGGGCGGCAGCTGGCGATGGTCCCCCGCGAGCACCAGCACGGGCCCATTCACACCGAGGTCCGCCCCGGGGGGGTACTTGAGGAAGGGCAGCGCGAGCAGGAGCGCGGGGGTCACAGCCTGGCTCGCCTCGTCAACGATCGCGCAGTCGAAGCGACGCAGATCGTCGTCGTTCACTTCCTGCAATAGAATAACAAAGGTTTTGAACCGTGCTCTCGTTACTTCCGTACCTTTGTCTTTGTTTGCTTCCTTCGCTTTTTGTGTCGTTTCCTTTGACCAGCAACCGCACTTGATGCATCCTCCTCTTGTCAAAGCGGCGCAAATCGTCGTCGTTTATTTGCTACCGATAAGAGTGAGAGGCTTGTGTGTTCGTTTAATTTCCCCTTCTCCGTCATATTCGTGACCGTTACTTTGAGCGACAATGCAACGATGGCGTTCTTTTTGTCAGCTTCGCTGTCAAAGCGGCGCAGATCTTTGGATCTTTGTCGTTCACGTCCTGCGACTGGTATCTCAGAGCGTTTTGTCGGTTCTAGCATTTCTCTGGTTCCTCCTGCTCCCCTCGTGTGGTTTGTCCTTTCCTCTTGACCTTTTAGTTCTTCTTGCACTTTGCTCGCTGGCTTTTTCCTGCTCGTGTGTCCACTAAGCGGCGCACAGCAGAGCTTGATCGTTACGTACACCGCTCGCAAGATGGTCAGAACTCCTTCAAGCCTTCATTGGCTTGGTATGAATTCCCCCATCCATCAACGTACCAATCCCTTGCAAATGCCTCAGGAAATCGTAATTTGCTCTGCCCTGAGAGAACAAATCTCGCTCTCAAACCTCCCGCAGCCTCATTAGTCATGCTTCTTCGTAGTTTGATATCTCTAAGAGCTCCCCGCCACAGCGCCCACCTGAAGCGACCCCGAGAACCCGGTTAGGGTTCCGCACAAGACCTTGACGCTCCGCAGCACGCCCGTGACGGCCTGCCGCTCTAGTTTTCGCGCGTCCTTGAACAGCACGGCCGCCTCCTTGCGCGCCTCCCGCCGCCTCTGCCCGCCGTCTGCAGCTCGCACCCACCTGCGGAGAAATCCATAAGTCAGAAACAAACCGGAACAGAACCGGTTACGGCGCCGAACCAATATGAGGGATCATCCTTTCAGCATTCAATAACGTAGTGGCGGCTTCAGTGGAGTCGAGCAGCCATTGTGGGCGAGCCGAAAATCTAGCCCGTTGAGACTTGTGAAGTCATCAACGTTGAAGTCTTGAATTGGTGCTGACGTGCTTGACCTCGACCAAGAGGTCGTCCCTGATTTTTGGAAGTGCTTAAAAACGAAGACCAGCATTCTACCATCGGCACAAGTGAAAGAGATTCGTGAAAGTGGGTTACCACGTGAAGGGGTGCTGAAGGGAAAGATCTGCCTCCGCGGAATCGCTCGGGAAGTGACAGCGAAAATAGAAAAAGAATCTCGCAATGGCTTATGCGAAATCGCGACAACAGATTTGATTTGGGGTAAGCAAATCGTATAATCCTCTGCTATGTGTCTACTTCCTCATCCCCAAACGATAAGTGGGAAAAGAACGTCAGACCAAAAGTCGGACACAAACACCGAAGAGAGAGCCAAAAGCATGATAAAGAAGCTCGAATTGCGAGTCGCCTAGTGACGCAGAGCTTGCCGCATGGGAGAGCAAAAGAGTCCAAAAGAACAGGGAGAACATGTAACGTACGAGATTTTTTTTTGCCCAACATCTGGAGAACAAACTTTGAAGAAAACTCGGAAAGAGTGTGGGGAAGCTGCGCGTACCTACTTGTGAGAAGCTGCGACGGCCGCAAAGGCGTCTCGTCGGAGGCGGGCCGCCATAACGGATTCAGGGCGCTGCTCTTGGAGCGCCTCCAAAGTATGAGCCGCCAACGCGGGGCTAACGCGCTCTGCACGTCGGAGGACCTGGATTTTTAAACGATTCCGAGATCCTTACATTCGGTTTTTTGAGAGACTCATGCAGAGGATTGATTCTCATAATGTCCGATTTGTAGTAATTCAGGATGTCGAGACTCGAAATAAGGGTTCGATCGCCAGAGTGACTTCAAGCTCTTGACACCCCAGTCCGCGCCAGCTCTACCTTCTCATCCTAGTGTTTTCAGCAAATAGAACTCAGGGAGCTGAGGTTCATGCATGCGTTTCAGACGAGTTGGAAGAGTCTAGGAAGGCAACTATGACTTGAAGTGCAGGAAATGATGCCACACGCACCTGGCACCCCCGCACGAGCCACCTTTGATTTTGGCTCCGCAGCCAGCAGCGCAGTTGCCACATTGTCAACGGCGGCATTGGACGCAGCGGCAACCAGAACTCTTTGCCCTGCAGAACGGCAGGCGAACCAAGGCCTTTTAATAGTGAACGTGGCGTCTAAATGAGGCCGGGATAGAATGCGGGCTCGGGTTCCGGTTCCAAAATTTCGAATTTCGCAATGGTCTTGTGTACAAAATAATCTTAAGTCGACATCAGATCCTTGTTCGGCTTGGCAGAAACACCTTGGAACACGGCCTCTGAAGCGTGAGGCTAGCTCTCTTTGGACTTTCAAAGCGAACGGGTCTTGTCGCGCAAGTTGCAATGGCAGCGATACTTTTACGGCTCGTTTCTGAGCTCCTCTCATGCTTGCGCTCCCCTCTGATTCAGATGTTGACATCGATAAGCCACCCAAAACAACACTCGTAATCTCAGTTGTGAACAACAGAATGAAGCACGAGGCTAGCATTCCAGCATTAGAAAGCCCAGAAGCCTGGCTCAAGCTCTGCATCCTGCCGCAATCTCCATTCCGCACTCAGATGAAGCTCTTCAACATTTTTGGGAATCTCTTGGTTCGTAGGGTGATAAGCAACTGCCAATATTTAAAAACCCTACTGTGATTTGCGGTGAAACGTAAACGTACCCGCCCCAACCCTCTGTCGGATAACCTCGACGAGCGTCCGCGTCTTGCCGGTTCCAAACGGCCCGTGCAGCAGCGCCACGGGGGATCCCCCGCCGTCCCCAAGCCCGTTCACACACAGCCGCACTGCCCGCCTCTGCTCCTCGTTCAACCCGGTGTCCAGACTTTTGAAGCTTTCCTCCTGAAATACCGCAGAACCCTGGCTCCGCTGATCCCTTTGTTTTCCGTTTCCGTTTCCGTTTCCGGTCGACTCACTCGGGCCGCTGGTGCTGGCGGAACTGTTGGACTCTTGCCGGGCCGCGAGAGTGTCGGGGAATTCGGTAGCGGTCTCGAGCGTCGCGCCCAGAAGCGACTCCAAGAAGCGCGCCATAGGCCCCTCGGCTCGAAGGCACTCTGCAGAGAAGAGGAGCGGAAGCGTTATTCTTCGCATCTCGCGCTTTCTTACATGTCATGTCATGCTTAGGAGACTATTAAGGGCTTGGTGGGCCCAGTCACAATGACCCGGTAGACGCTTAGACATGTCGTCTGTTTTACATAGGCTCGTTCTCAACCAAGCGTCCTCGGAAGACCCTCCGTTTCTTTAAATGACCGACACGTGACCGGAGGCTGGAAGCCACGGGTGCCGTGATCCGAACATCTCTGGCTACGGAGTCCAATGAAGTTCGCCGGATACAGCGCCAAGATGGTGAGACAGATTGACCTTATAACCCACAACTCTCAGCATCGTCTGTATTCTTCACGAGTCCGATCCAGGAATGTGACCTGCTGAAACCGCATCCTGAGCAGAAAACCTCAAACCCCACGCCCCAGGGACTTTCCGCCCGTCAGCCATACCATATTTTCATTATCGTCCAATTTCGAAAGCCAAACGGCGGCCCCAGGAGTTGCCATGGAGCGGTTGTAGAACCAACTGATATCTGACATGTGCACTTTGCAAGCACAGTAAACAAGGCCTCACCATTAATGACTGAGCGCATTCTGTCGAAGGTGGCCCTGTCAGGGACCAGTAAAAAGTCGAGCCCGCCCGACTTGGTTGCCGGCCGTTCCGCGTCATTCTCCTCGTCCTGGCCCGGGGGACGGTCGAAGACGATGCTCATTCGACCGGAGCGACACCATGCCACGCGCCCTGTGAAAGGGACATGTGGTGAGAAGTTGAGGATTTTAGGCATATTTTATGTGTTCCTCGCCTCCTCTTCCTCTTGGTCAGATCTCCATTGCAAGATGATGTATCTCTCGTTTTCAGGAGAAGTGGAGGAGGTAGTAAAGCGGACGGATGAGACACGAGCCCCTCATCAGAGGCAGCCTGACCGTCGGGATTACTCCAAATGGTCGGAAGCGAGAGAGGGAGATCCCCTCGAACCACACCGCGTGTCAGAATCTGTCAACACAACTGTAAATGAGACGAAGTGGCGACATAAGGAGAGACGTGTCCAGCCTGTACTGTATTGCTCCAGAGGTAGCATGTATGTGGATCGATATATGAGGACTCGAAGAACGAGTCAGGCCTAGAAACGGGAAGATCTTCACGTGGGGCTTCGGCTGCTGCCAGTCTCACTTCTGAACCACTCCAACATTTGCTGAAATAAACTTTCACGAGTGGCAAAAGATACCCGATGTTTCTTCATGCAAACCCAGCTTCTGGCAACATTGATAACTTGAGAGAAGCCCCTTCTCGACGATCGGGAAGTGAACCCCTATTTCTTCAAACATCTCAGGTGTGTGCATGAAAATACTGGCAATCTGAAGCTTCTTAAGCTGAAGACGAAACTCGGTGTTTTATCCGGGTTGACTTGTTAGGACAGACTGTCAGCCTCACCGGGGGGCTCATTCTCTGCCACAGCCCACCCCCCCGCCCCATCCTCTTTCCTGATCGCCAGCCGCACCGCCGCGCCCGGGCGCGCGCGCTGCCCGAACTTTGCCACGTGGCCCTTCTTGCTGACGTCAGCGTTTTCGCCGATGATCCACCGCTCCTTCCCGAAAGCTGCCGCGTCTCGTTCAAGCAGAACCGCTCCCCGCAGCAAAAGGCCTTGAGACTCGAGCTGGCGCCAAGAGGCGCCGGGGGGGGCAGATGCGGACGACGCTTCTTCTTCCAGGTCGACCAGCTTCGACAAAGAATCATCCGGGTATGAGAGAATTCTTGAGAGTAACTCATCTCTTCGGGGATAGATGGATGCGAGCACACCATGAAGGATCAGTATCAAAGCAGCAGAGGCTTCAAGATTACCTAGAGACACCCAGGGCTCCAGACTTAATTCAGTTTTTTAAAAGGGGGCGGGACAAGGGACAGCTTTTCTAGTTCTAAGAAGTCAGCCATGAGGGGATTGGGCCATGCGCATCAGTTGTTAAACCCCCTGCAAATTGAGCTTACTGCAGTTCTTTTCTGACCATGTTGGAAGCTATCAGCCCATCGTCAAAGAAGCTCAAGAACGATGTAGAAAGGCAACCCTCACCCAAAACCCGTTGGCCATAGGGCGCCCCGTTGTGAGAGAAACTTCCTGGCGTTTTGTGGATGTTTTTGAACCTAATGCCCAGAAGTTCCAGGGCATAAAAGTTGTTCAAAGGCCCACCTCTTTGTACTTCTCAAGGCGCTCCTTCGCCCCAAGTCTGGTGGCGGTCATCCGCCGCTCCTTTCCCGTCCCCTGGCTCTCGTGGCCCAACCCGAGTTTCTCCGCCCACTCATGCGCCACCAGTCGGTCTTTCTTGCTCAGTGAAACTGGCAGCGCTATCTCTGCCTGACCCCCAGTACCATTTCTCAGCTCCAGTAGCAAGCGCTTCACTTCAGCTGCACTGAATTCTACACTCCTCTCTGTCTGGACTGCAGTTGATGGTGCGCTGGAATCTAGACTGGTGGCAGTAGGGGTGGCACGGGCGATGGAAGTTGAGAGTTGGCGAAAGCTCTCCGTTTGCTCCTTTGCGAATCGTGGCAGCCTTGGAATTTTTGAAAGAAAGAGTGGTGTGCGTGAAGATACAAAAAGAGCACGCCGACTGTGATCTAAGTCCCGAGAGTCGGCGCTTCTTGAAAGGCCCAAAAGCTGCTTCCAGGGGCTCAAGAAATGGCACGAAAGCGAGTCCATTGTTGTTTGAGTAGCCTTTCCCTCCTTCGTCACTTGAAGTATCAAGCAGACTCCAGCCACTTTTCTTCACACACAAGCTTCCAATCTATGGCCCAGATAGCCTGGGCCCTAAGGGCCTTCCCCTCCTCCCCTCCTTCCCCTCGAGTGTCAACTGGTGTGTGTGTGTGTCAGGGGAACTTGGCGCCACCCTCTTCGGAGTCTTTGGTTGGCACTTGAAGTTGGGGAGCTTGGCGCCCCCCTCTCTAACTTTAAGCTGCCACTGCCAGATCGGACACTTCAGTTCAACTGCAAGTCCTGAGTTCAAAGTTTTAACTCTTGATGGCTGAGCATTCTCTAGAGTCCAGACTTCGAATCCGACGGCGATGGACTTGAATATTTTCCCGCCTGCGTTGATTCCTGACCTCGATCTTTTAGACTAGGTACTCTCCTTGAGTTGAAGGCAATGCAGCAAACTCCTCGACAAGGAACTAATAGCTAGACGAAGCACACATCCATTCCCTTTGCCCCTTATTATGTAGCTTTTGACCTCCTCCACAGCTATCAATGACCAGTATGGCGGCAACTGGTGCGATCAGCTCATGTCACCTGAACCCCAGATGCTTTGCAGGCAGAGATACGACTGCGGCTCCGACAATATCTACTGCTGCGTTCCATCAATTACCGCCTCATGTATCAAAAGCGATCCACCCTCTCAGATTTGCAGAGTCTGTGTGCGATCATCGCGGTTTTCTTCTGCTGAGAAGTGGAGTACTTGCGGCAGCATTGTGCAACGTGGGCGGAGGAAAAAGAACTAGAGAGGCGGGATGTCGGGCCGCAGACAGCGCAGGCGCAGGGGGGTGAGCACTTCTCCAGCATGTGCAGTTTTGTGAGACTCTTTGCAGCGTTCCAGAGGAATGCTCTGTAGGGGGATCAAGCAGGTATTATATCAGCTCTTGTCAGGAGCAGTATTACCCGCCAATGCAGGGGAGGATCTGTGCCTCTACTAATATACAGCGCTTTCATAGGGCCTCATGTGCAATCTAAAGTCGTTCTTAATGAAGCTCTTGGTGTTGAGAGCTGGTTTCCTTGCCACAATATACCAACCGCAGTCACGGGTCTAAATATATTTTGATTGAAATGGCCTGCAATCAAGCATCAGGCTGACTGTGTCCTTCCATAACGCCCTTTACAATCGGATCGGATCTTGTCCACTGGAGCAACCCACAATCAGGAACTTGGAGTACATTTTGACCCACGGAAAAGCACTGAAACTGGGGGCCCGCAAGTTGGTTATTTTCTGCTGACACTGTTGTAAATCAGGATTTTCAGTAACCGACCTCTCTTCTAATCCGGCAGTTGATCAAAGATGGTGTATCGGTGCTCGCTAATTGAGAACATGGGGTGGCCAGGAAGTCAATGCTCCTCTTGCCTCTGCTCCTTGAATTTCCCTCAGATTTCCTAAATCGCCGGTGCCCCAACTTACCTCATCACCTGGCGCTTTCACTTGGTCAACACATGGTGCGACCACGTTCAGGTTCCATGCAAGTAATTTGAGCTGAGTTGGCGCCAACTAAATGACGCTGTTCGCACTCCCAGTTGATTCATCAGCAGTCCCTTACTTGATTCAGCACCATACATTGCTCGCTTGATCGTCATTGGCTCAAGGAACGCTGCTGATTCCCTTTGCTTTACAAATGCAAAATTTCATTCTTCAGTCGAGCCTTTCTTTCATGACAGTGATTCGAAGAACTGCATTTTCGCACTTGCACAGCCTACATTTGTTCGCCAGCACAGTGTTTCAGACAACTCTGCCGGTTCCCTTTCTCCACAAGCCAAAAGTTCCACTGCCCATCACCTTTCTTTCCCGTCAGTGACTTCAACCACGTTGCGGGAGTCCTTAGTTTTACAGTTCAAAATTCATTACCATGCACCGCTCTCCTTCCTGTCAGTGCTTTCAAAAGCACGCCACCTCCCTCACTTTAAGAACCCACATTTATTGCCAATCACCGCTTTCTTTTGCCCCAGTGGTTCAAGAAACGGTGCTGGTTTCCTGACTTTCATAACCCATTGAAATTGCCTTTCTTTCCGACACTGGTTTAAGAACGCTGCTAATCTCCTCACTTTATCAGCCCACATTCTCATCAGCATCTACCACTTTCCTTTCCCCCAGCAATTCAAAGTTCGCTCCTAATGTCCTCACTTCATCAGCAACAAATTCATTGCCAGCTCCCGATTTCCTTTCCCCAGTGGTTCAAGGAACGGTGCGGCGGCATTGCCGCGACGGCTGTCAAGCCGCCGCGAGGCGGAGCAGGACAGACAGTTTGTAATGGAGCTGCGGCGGGTTATGGACTCCAAAAACCTGCCCAAGCTCAACGTGCCTAGCCCCGCCCAGCTCTCCGACAGGTGCAGACCTTTTCCATACGTCCGAATCCTTTCAGATTCCTCAATTTAAGTTGTCAGAGGAGCCTCATTTTGTTCAAGATTGTCCAACTTGTAGTTCCGGTCTGAGCAGAGTGTGAAATCGTCCAGACCTCTTCAAGATTGGCGCTCTGAGGAATGAGAGCTGTCAGGCTTGCCAGACTGCTCTGATCTGAGGTCACTCAAGTACGCTTCTTTCCGTCTGTTCTATGCGCGTGCGTTCTGCACCTGATTATCCAGCTGATTCTGTCTGTATGTTTGAACACGCCAACGTCGTTGAACAACGTTTGCAAACCGCAAGCAATGGCCAATTATGTCAACAAATCGACTTTCTATGTTGTTGATGGTCACTTCATCTTCAAATCACACCGGTGGGAACATATCGGAGAGATGTGAGTCGCCTTACTCGATTCACGTGACGAGATATACAGCCACATTGCTTCTCCCTTGGCGGCAGTGGAGATGGTGTGAACCTGGATAAATCTGCAGACCACTAATTATCATGCAAAATGCCACGACTCAATAACAAACTCTCTTTCATGCAGGCCAGATTTAGCCAAGGGCCTTCGAACTCGCGGTCAATTCCACGTTGCCCGTCTCCTTGGCCAATACGCTGCTTCCGAGAAGTCTTCGCCCCCCTCGTCCCGTCCCCCAGGCTTTCCAACCCCCGCACCGATTATTTCCCCCTACGACGCCCAGATCTCCCCTCCTTCTAGTTTCCAGACACCGCCTCTTCCCCCCCAGGCCAATGTTGGTCTCGCCTCCACCCGCCAAGCAAGGACACAACCCGAAAACCCCACGATTTTGGAGCCCGGCACTCCGTTGAGACCCTCGCAAGAAAGCACGGCATCCGTCCCGCCCCCGAGCGCAAACATGGACAGCCCACCAAAGATCCCGGCGTCGATTTTCGACCAACTAGAAGCGGACGCTCAGCGAGCTCCCGCTTCCGGGGGGGAGAAGAGCGTGCGATCTGGCGCCAAGGGGTTCCCCCTGCCGTCAAGGGACCCCCAGGCGACGACGAAGGCGGTCGAGCGGCTGAGGCAGCTGGGCAGTGCGCTTGGTGAGGAAATGAGCGGTCCTAGCACTTTTTTGGGTTGAGGTTTTTGGGTTGAGGTTTTCAAGTTTGTTGGGTATTTGGGTTTGCTTTGGATGGTGTGCTTGGTTTCTGCACAGAGGGTCTGGTCAACGATCTTGTCAAACTCTCACCAACCCGAGTCGGTAGGTTAGACTTTCCCTACGGGACGTCATGCAGACATACTTCGCGGTATGACGCTCTTGATTTGGAACCATCGTCAGTCATTTCCTCAAAGCTATGATATCAGATCCAAATGCTTTCTCAGAGTGGGTCATAAACCAATAGCACTCAAAAGTCGTTAAAGAATGTCAATGTGATATCTTCACAAAGTCTATCAGAGTCTGGTGTTGTCTCTGTCGTCACTACTCATTTTCAAAGCGGCACTATTGCCCAGATTGACACAGGAATAGCGAACGCACACTTCTGCCATCTACAGGAAGCCAGGCTCCGGCTGATCCAACGGCTCAGGCAGCCTCGCTGCTGTGGTCATCCAGGCCTATGACGTCACCCCCGAAGGCCGTGACGGCACCGGTGCCGTCGGTGACGGAGCGGGCGGCGCGCTTCCTGAAGACCGGGAAGATGGATGCTGCCGCGGTGTCGGAAGGTGGGCATAAGCTATATGTTTACGGGCGATAAGCCAGACCCGGGGAGCAATTCGCTCTGGTCGAAGTAAGATTTAGCTTTCGTTGAGCATGTTTGCTTCACAGGGGGGCTTTCCAGTTCGGTTAAGGAAGTTGTTGGGGGGATTTGATTCCACTCTTAAGCAACTAGAGCAGGAGCCTCGTCGCCCGTTATGGCCATCTCGACCAGTGTCTGAGCACATTTGATCTTTGATTGCTGCACCATCAATGCTGACATCGTTCAAAAAGCGCCCTCTCAAAAGCACAACCATGCTGAGGATCTGGTTCCGTTCAACCCTGGTTACGTTGACGGTTATCATTGACCACTTTGATATTCTGCCAAATCCGAGTTATCCTGCTGATAAAAATTGATTCCTCTGCTACAGCCATGTTTATGATTAACCGTCCGGCAATCGACAGCCAACCACTTACGCCTTAAACCTTAATCCTCTGACACCCTGGTGAAGACATCACCCCTGAACCCCGAAAGACGATCACCCCCTGCCTGTTGACAGATCGCGACACCTCTTGAGATCCTCCCCCATCCCTCTCTCTTTCTTTCAAGGGTATCGAGGTTTCCCGAAGATTTCAGCAGGGTTTGCCATGCTTTGAAACTGATGCCAGCAGCCTTGACGATCGCCCAAAGCGAAAGGCCCTTTATCCTGGCAACTTCTTCTGCAGACCGCGAACAGACGCCGGAGCTGACCGAAGAAAGCCGACGTTGGACGCTCCAATCGCTTAGAATTGAACGCGTTCCAGAAAGCGTGATCCCCATATTCCAGTTCAGGAAACAGTCCAGTTCAGGAACCCGCTAATTTTTGACCAAGCGCAGTACTTAAAGTCACGTTCAAATTGCAGTCTCGACGGGCGTGCAAAGCGAAGACATTTCCGGCGAGGTGTCTTCAGACGCTCGAACTGCGAAGGCAATTGCGGCCCAAAAAGCGGCGCTGCTGAAGGCCAAGCTGCGTCAAAGGTAAGACCGTGGAAGTTACGAACGCTGTGTAATGCTTACCGCTAGATTTGGGTGTGATTAGTGGCTGAACGGAGGGTCTTATCTACAATCTGAAAGCAGTTTGCTGCTTGCTGTACTGGTGGGCAATGTTGCATTGCGATTTTCTGTGGAGTTTGCGGTGAGACACTGCTGCGAGTCGACGTAGGGACAAGACCTCCCTTCCGAAACGTACTCACTCGACGGATATGGAGCTGGCTGCCGAAGGGCCGATATTAGATCCAAACAAAAACTAAACAGAGTAACTTGAATAATTCCTCTTTTGGAAACCAAGGTCCGGAAATTGAAGCGGCTGGAAGCCTTTCGTCGGACAAGCCGGCTCAAGATCTTCGCCATACTAGATCCCTGGGCCAAGGCATTCAGTCGATCAACCGTCTCGAAAAGATCCCCCACGGTCAAACCGCAACCTGAACCTCAGAACCCGTCCTCTGATATCATCAGTCCTCCGACTGTGTACAGAGGCGGCAGTCCGAACGCCGCGCCTGCCGCGCCCGCCCCACCTGCCGCGCCCGTCGCGCCCGTCGTCGGTTCTCTGCAAAGCCACAACGAGCAACTCTATCGGGAGATCCTCAGCGAACAGCAGGAACTGCAGCAGATGAGCCTGGTATAGAACCCGAATCCCTCTGACCCAACTCCCTCTCTAACCCAACCCCCTTTCTAACCTAGTTTCCTTTTTACCCAAGTCCCTTTCTGACCGGACTTCCTCATCAATCCATTTGGGCGCTCAAAGAAAGTAGGGAGTTGTGGGCTTAGGGATGGCAGACTTAGCAGGGTCCTCGCGTCTTAGCGCGTCAATCAGAAATCATGCTGGAGGCTGGCTACATTGATACATGCACGTGAACATGTGTCGAATAAGGTCGGCTTTCCCTCAAGAAGAAGACGCAAGGTACTGTGTTGACCTTTCGTAGACGAACCGGGAGCGAGCAGTTTCAGAGCAGCCCGCGTTCTCGTATCGGCTGGCTGCTGGTGCTATTCAATCGAACTTCTCATGCGTCTGCATCTTGCTTCTTATACTCACAAGGCTTGCTGTTGGGTGTTTGAGTTAACTGTCTACAATGTGACTCTCCCTGAGCCCGGAAGAGATACGTTCCAACAGCCTGACAAAGTAGTTGGTTCGCTTCTTCCAGTCGGAGCGGCAAGTCGAAGACGACTTCAAGGCGCAGACGTTCCAGGAGTTGAACCGCATCAAGGAAGTGCTGGTGAGGGGCAGAATGGGAGGCTGACGAGGTTTCATGAGTTTGATAGGTTGCATTCTGAAGTCTGAGACGTGAGATGCTGACCGTGTTGCGTCTTGCAAAGCCTTGCTCTCTTTTTCGTACCGCTCCTCGGCATATTGATATGCTTGTGACCCAGCTCAGGGGCAGTATATGCGAACATATTTCTGACGCTTTGAAGATGAGGCGACACGGATACTGATCGATGAGGGACCTCGGGGTTGGAACGGCTGGAAGGTCTGAGAAATTCACTTCAAAAGGTTTGCTTCAAGTTAAGCGAACGCTAAATTACCTTACCTTCCCGGGTATCGACGGTGCCATAGAATGTCGTCATTCTTGGCTACATTTTTGGACCGTACTCAAAGCGCGGATGCAAACATCCGCTTGGCCTATAGAGCAAGGTTAAATTGTTCAATTGAGCACAAGACGTGGCGAAACGTACTCTTCAGCTATCCGGTCATTGAGAAAGTCCTCGCTTTATTAAACGCCAAGTAATTGGTTTATCAAACGGCAAGTGATTGGTCTTCTCAAAGCCACCTGCTGCTCTGTGTATATGCCCTTGAAGATTGAACCGTATCGATCTCATCATTATCCTGCATAGCTCATAAATTGTGGCGTTAATGCAGGCGAGCCGGGAGTCGGAAGTCGCCAGCATGGGGGAGGCTCTCAAGGAGGCGCGGGTAAGCTCACCAGAAATCAGACATTGTCTCATTCGAATCTTGTTCAGCCTGACCAAAACTATGTCCGTTGGTTTGCTGAGCTACCTCCTCGGCAAATTCTCGTCTAGTGTCCTTCGACGAACAAGGTCAAAATTTGACACGTGTTCTTATAAGAAAAGTGTTCACAGTGTAGAAACGTACGCAGAGTCAAAACGCAAGCCATCAATGAGCTTGATCCGCGGCAGATGCTTGCTCGCTAAACGCCGCCTGTCTCGAGATCCTAAGGGTGCTACTAACTGGTTGTTGTTGTCGAAATTCGTCGATATCAAAGCGGCCGCTCTTTCCAATCTGCATACAGTTAGATAACAACTTTGGGCGAATGCTTGGTCCTGTTCATTCATGCGGCTTCTGGTACTACGTTATCTTGCCGTGCTTTCCATTTGGCAGCCCTCTACATATCCAGAAACAGTGGCCCCGGAGTCAAATGCTGTAAGGCAGCCTCACAATCTCCGTTCAAACCTGGCAAGAAACCCGATAATCATGTTCACTTCACTTGTACCACCACCCCAGTTTTGAACGCAGATTCGCCAACAGAGCCATCCATCCCCGCTGAAATCCTCCGTTTACGCAATATTTCAATAATATGTTGTATAATGATTATGATTTTGAGATAATGATTCTGATGATATTTCGCAATAAGATCCTTCAACACTCTGGAGACCCTTCTTACAGGCCCAGTTGAATCTGCTGCGCGCCAAGTCTGCGGCCGAGCTCTCCCAGGCGCGCCAGGAGATGATCGAGCTGCAAACGCGGCTGCGCTCCACTGAGAAAGCGCTCGAGGGCCTCAAGCAGGTGAAGAACTCTTTGCTTTTGCGGTTTTAGTCTCCGGATATCGCGGGGCGAAGCTTGTGATTGTTGAAGAACGAAAGGGAAAACCTTTGAATGGCCTTAACGCGGCTGCGGTCCGCCGAGAAAGCGCTCGAGGGCCTCAGGCAGGTGAGAAACTTTGTGCTTTTGTGGTTTTGGTCTCCGGATCTCGCGGTTCGCAACCCTGTGATTGTTGAAAAAGAAAGGGGGAAACTTTAAGACGCCTTTGATCCGTTGAAAAATGAAAGGGGGAAGCTTTAGCAGGCGTTGACACGGTTGCGGTCCGCTGAAAGCGCTCGAGGGTCTCAAACAGGTAAGTGCCTTTTACGTTTTCCCGCCCTTTCGAGGTTTTTGACCTCTGGGTTGTGCCGGTTGCGGCTTGAATCGTTGAGAATACAGAAGGGGAAAACTTCATGAGGTCCGTAGCGCGTCTGCCTTTCGCCAGATAAGCGTTAATGGTCCTTGTGAGGGCCGTGAAGGGTTTCCCCCTTGTAGCAACTTTTTAGTTCTCCGGTGTCTTTTTAAGGCGTCTGTTTGCCTGCCCGGACGGGTGGGTTACTTTGGGCGTAAAGGGCGGGTATGCGGTGCGGCGCGGGATTTCCAGAAAGTAAGGATTCTGATGTTGGGTTACGAGCTTACTATTCCTAATGCTTTTCAAGCCAGAGTGAAGGTTCGTCACGAAAGGACCCAATTTCGCCACTCTTGATTCTTGACGCGCGGACCGTTTGGTTGGATCTCCACGTCTAAAACTCTAAAATCGTAAACCCCTCAGATCCTAAACTCCTAAAATCCTGGATTCTTTACCGACACAGGTGCGAGTCGAGTACTGGGGCGTAGGGGACGTCGTCCAGCTGGCGGGCTCCTTCAACGGGTGGAACGAGCACTTTACACTGGAGCCGGACTTGAGCACCGAGATCCCTCCCCCAGGGGGCGGCCGCGGACCCATGGTCTTTGCGTGCGAGCTGCGGCTGTACCCGGGAGAATATGAGGTGGGGGGGAAAGATGTTTTCTTGAAGAACATCAGGAAAGAGCGGTCCGCGCATTTTCTTTTTACCACCTTTGAGAAAAGTGTTATGGTTAGTTGAAGGCCTTGATGTTCTAGGGACTTAAGTACGGGGATCCCCAGGGGGGCGGCTGGGGACCCATGGTGATTGCGTGCGAGCTGCGGCCATACCCGGAAGCCCATGAGGTGGAAAATCCTGTTTTGGGGAGGAGTACATCCCTCTCTGCAGTATCCTTGCAAACCTGTGCGGGTCATCGTCAGGGGTTGAGAGAGCATCGGGCTGAATACACCTGGGGAAAACAGAGTACATTCTCCACAAAAGTCTGAGCTTCTTTGCACTTTTGACTGGGCGTCAGGGAGGGGCGGTGACGCCGTGTAGAACGTTGCCCTTTTGTCTAGGTCGGAAGATGGTTTCAGGGACGAAGAGCCGGTTAGGTCGCCGGAAGTTATCGAGAGAGCGTTCTGTTCTCAGCTCACGCTAGCTTACGCTACTCTACGAACCGGCATCCCTTACCAATACTGAAGTGGTGTCTGAGGGACACCTTCGCACCGCCGAGAGGTAGATCGTCGATTACTTGGCTTGGACCGTCTGATTCGTCTGGCTGTGAGAACGGCTCGAGATCGGGGCCATAATGGAGGATGCAGCTTGTCTGTGCGATCGGGTCAACTTGACATGCTGTGCGAACACGTGTTCAGACAAGCTTTGAAACATGGGAGATTTTGTCTTTAACCGTTGGCCGTCCGTCTAACCGCTCGTCTTGTGTCTGCCAGGTCAAGTTCATTGTGGATGGCGTCTGGCAGATCGACTCACGACGAGAGATTGTCTTCAAAGGGATGAACCAGAACAACCTACTGAGAGTGGAGTAAAGTGGGCTTCGCATATCAGTACCCTGCGGCGGTTAAACGTAAACCGTGCAGAGCGCCTTAGGAAGCAAGTGCTAAATCGGGGCCGTGTTAACTTCGAGGTTTGTCGTTGACCGGAAAGGATGAGAGCTCGTGTGCTCGAATCGACACAATGGGGTGGAGTCAATCTTTTACAAAATTCAAAGGTACACGTGTTAAGTTCTGCTTTAGCTGATGCAACAGTGTGCATTCGTGTACGTGGACCAATATGTAGAGGTCGGAGCTAGGTTTGAGCAGTCTTCGGTTTATGTTTGACTTCAGGACGCTGTTAAGGGGTTATTACGACAGCCGAAGGCCGTGTCTTTGATGAGCCGGAAGGGCAAGCAGGGTCGGTGTCGTTGCATTTGATAAATTACAGCAGTCATAAGTTTGCATTATCAAAGTATTTGATTGCCCTGGCGCGGCTGCACCGTTCAATGGTCAGCCCGCTAGGTTGGCCAAATCTATACGATCCGTAGCTATTATCTGCGAAAACCACTTTTCCGCCAGAGCCGTTTACGACCGGCGTGCGTGCGTGATGTGCGTAACATGGCTACTTTATGATGAAGCATATGTCAATTACAGATCCGACGGTCTCATCTGGCAACCATGGTGCAGGTCGACATGTAAGGTAGTAGATGGACTGAGCCGCAATCCGTGAACCACCGGCCTAGCGCCATTTTGAGTGGCAGACATAGTTACATATATGCTCGCAATGCATGAAGAAACGAACCAGCAGGAACCAATCAAATGGCCCTATTCTACAAGCTGGTATATATGGTATATTTGCTCGCTGCCATGGGTGCTTGCATGCAACGTCATGTATCATTACTTTTCCACATACGATCCTCCCGGTGCCCCTATAGTACTGATATCATATATGAAGTTGAATTCCAGAAGACGTGTACGTACTAACGCGTGAACACAGCTATCGTACTCAGTGAGCATGCATGCAACCCATGTCCGTTAGTAATGAACCTTATCGAAGCGGCGAGTTCCATGCATGCATGATGCTTAGTGTGTGCATCAGGCTGGGATGACGGTTGCATGGCCTGAATGACAAGTTGTGTTGCCGCATACATACATGATATGCATGAGCGATGGTCTGATAGAGGTTAGACGGTCACACTTAGGCAGATGTACTTGCAATATAAGCACCAATTCACTTGTTCACGGAGGAGCGGGCCCGGGAGCTCAAATCTTGCAAAGATCACCTCGCATGTAGTAACAAGTCCACTTCGCAAAGGAGGTCAGGTTATGAATTGTGATTAGCACGCACCCGACACGTAAGTCAGCTTCCAAGCGTCAATCTAGAGTGCGCAACGAAGAATTTGCTATTCTTTGAACATGCTTCAGTCAGCTGGCTAGTTAGCTGGCCAGTTTCTGTGCGTGTATCGAATCAAGTTTCTCAGAAGGTCAACTGCCTTCATTCAGATCACGCGCAATGTAGCCTCAGTGCAGAGTTAAGAAACACACCAAGTCCCGCCGAGTCCCCTTCTCAGAGCTCCGCCGACTTGGCTTCATCCTTCTTACCCTGCAACGACGACACCCAATCACTGATATACTCCCCCACTTGACCCGCCTTCTCCCCAATCACTTCTGCTGCCTGGTGCGCCTGCTTCGTCAGCGCATCCGCTGCGCTTTTCCCGACTTCTACGGCAGAGTCAAGGGCCTCCTTGGCTTTCGACGACGCGGTATCGAACACCTCCTTCGCCGAGTCGGTCAGGTCCGCTAGCGTCGAACCGCTGGCCGCGTCCTTAGGTGCGCTTTTGGCGTCCTCGGCGCTCTTCTTGTCGAACTTCAAGCCGTTCTTTGCGTCGTCCTCGGCAAAGTGCTCCTTCATGGGCTGAAAAAAACAAATTGCAATGGCTCAGATTCTCCGGCACGACAGCTGGGCGGCTTAAAGCGGCTTAAAATCTGTAGACTTTTCAGATGCGTGTGGCCAGAAGACGCAGGTTCGTGCTTTTCCAGCGCTTTGATACAGGGTACTGAGCCCTGACGCTCAGCGACTGCAAAGCCCACACCGCAACCAGGTGGTCAAATCTGCGGCGACGGTGACGCTGCATTTGCTTATTTAGCGGACGCAAAGAAGCCACGTTAAGGTACGCCCTGTCACACTCTGTACCGTCGAAGAGCTGAAACTATCAGAATTCCGAACCACTTTCGGTCCAAGTCAGGAGGCTTGTTGTTTGGAATAAGGAAAGTCCACGGCTAGCCAAAACTGTAAACATGTGATTCCTAAATGCTCAGCTTGATTAAGTTTGAATCATGTCAACATCGAGTTATCCCGGGTTGCTTCAAGGACTTCGTAGTACCCGACCTTCTTCTTGTGACCTGCCGAAAACTTACACTTCGGGAGGATATTGGAGAGCTGTACTAGCGCAACGTGCAAGTATCAGAATCAAGTAATACGCCAGAAATGAGAAGACTGTCCAAGTAATCCTGCAAATCGGTGAGCAGCCGAGAAAAAACGCTCACCGACGTGAAGTCTTCATCCTCGTCGTCATCCTCATCATCGTCGTCCCCGGCCCCCATGCCCATCTTCTTCATCATCTCGTCACGCTTAAACATCTCCATGCCGCCGCCCATGCCGCCCATGCCCTGCAGGGAAATAAAAACGCCGCTCTAGTTCTCCGAAAGCACGGTGTGGCCACGTTGGTCAAGCGCGAACAGCTGTTCCCGAGATGTCGGCCCAACTACTTTATTTGAGAACAATCTGAATCCGTTGCAGCGACCGATAATTGAACCGTTTGCAGAGCGTGCACGCGCTTTTGAAACGGTGACGAACAAATGACTTCTGAAACGGTTTGTCCTCTGCACCGTACACAACTCTTGAAGGTTGCGCCCCAGGAACCGACGGCTGGCCGCTTTTTAACGTACTCGGCAGATTATCCAAGCCCACATGCGTTGGGGCGCCAAGGACTGTCCTACAGCCCTTCCAAAAGACGAGGCACTTTCAGACCCGCAACTCAGAGCCCATAATAAAGATAAGGATCGAGGCATAGATACCGGCCTGCACCGAACCAGCCTAACGTCGCCCTATAAGTGAGATAAGAATGCAAGTTTCTCAACCACATATCTGATGGATAAAATCATGGACGGCCTTCCTTAAAGAGGGCGTCAGGGGACCGGTCCCCCCTCCGGCGACCAGATAGCGCGCCATATTGCACACTTGGTCGCTGAGGGGGACTTTCACGATTGGATCTGGGCCGTCAGATGAAATTTACCCTCAGGACTCAGATGCACGAGTGTACTTTGAAATCTGACGCCCCCTTTAATTTTAGAGCACCTTTTCTTGCAGAGCAACAACCAGTATCCCACTCGGAACTGCTCGCAAAGTGTCCGTGCAGACCACTCGTCACGTTCGAGAGACGTTCGAGACACCCTCAGCACACGCGGATAAAAGTCTCAGTCAAAAGGATAATTGGAGTCTCAAAGGTGGAAGCAGGACAGGTTGACTAATAGAAATTGATGGACTCGAACAGGTTGATTCAGAAGTACGTTGCAGCGTACCTGCATTTCTTGCATCAGCCGCTCCACCTCCAAGTCTTTGGAGTCCTTCGGTTGGAACTCCTCCCCAGCTGGCCGGTCCTGCAAGAAGGAACGTTGATTTCAAGCAAGTTCTGGAGTATCTCCAAAAACTGTATCTCTCACTTCTCACCGAACTTTCCTGACCAAGGTAATTGCAAGTACAGGCTGTCAGGGTTTGCCGATGTCTTGTTCGTACGCACGCAGACCTTTCTGATGCGCACCAATCTCGCGCAAGTGTAAATACCATCTCAACCACAACTGTCTTCGGGTGCGTCTTAATCGTCTTCGTTCGCGCACGATAGGAACTCTCTGACTTGCAGACAACGTCGTAAAGGTGGACAATGCTTGCCTTCGGGACCGGCGGTGGTTTGCGTTTACAGGCCCCGCTGAGCTCGTAGCACAGCAGCTTAGAAAGCTGCGCCCGCTTTGTTGACTCCCTGAACAGGGCCTCCGCAACGTCCGTGTCTGAGTCTCCGATGACCTACAAATGAAGGTTCTTGCCTTTAGCTTTCACCATTAGGATGTGAATCAAACCCACACGATATGCTCGTCTGGCTTCACGGCCAAATGATCCACCTGATCGCTTAGCGCTGACTAAGCTCCTTTTCTCCAGTGCCCCCATTCACTTGTTTCAAAGCAGGTAATATAAAGAGTGGGTTCACCGGAAGGAATCTGCAAATCCAAGGTGAGCAAATTGAAAAGCCTAAATGCCACAGTAGCAGACCGTAAACAAACGGAATCGATCAGGGTCATGTGTACACCACCCGGGCCATAGTCGTAAGCTTCCCCTACTTGGATCTGCTAATTTCGGCGCGACTTTTAGAACTCAACAGGCAATTGCGGGAGAATGCAGTCATTGGTAAGCCTCTCGACGTTATCCTGTGAGGTGGCCAACACAGACTCATTTCTAATGGCATGCTGACTGGGGCAGATTGTCTGGTAGCATATTGGTGTGCAAACATTGCTAAAGAGGACTGAGCGCCGCCCTGATTGTACTCGTGCAAGAGCACTCCCTTGTAAAAATGGCCGGAGACCTCACCTCCTCGCAGGCCCTCGCTATCGTTCGACACTCCGTACCGCACTCGCCCACTGCTTCTTGCTCCACTAACTGTTGCATCAAAGGTTATGCACAAGCATAAGAAGTCATGCAGTCAAGTGTTGAGCGCGCCTTGCGCACATACATACATCTCCGCTGCTTTGAAAGCGTGTTGACAGCATTTAATAACAGAGCCGATAATATGTAGGTCAAGATGCTTGACTGCTAAGTTCCAATCTCTTGTCCTTCAGCATTACTCCTTGCCATCAAGCAGACTTTTGATCAACGAAGGAGTGAGAAGCGGGCATTATAATACCTTTAAGTCAAGAGGCAACCAGGTGGAAAACTAGAATTCTTTCGTTTCTAAACTCTTAAGCAGTAGCCACTTACTTTCAATTTCGTCCCGTCCTCCACAATGTCCTGCTTCGCAATCCACTCCCCTTCTAACCGGTCCGGGTTGCAGATCTTCTCAACAATCTCAATGATTGAGTACTCAGATAGTTTCTGCATCTCAGGTGCGAAGGCAGATTCAGGCACCACCAAAATAGCCGTTATGCTGATAATTGCTGAATCTCATGCGTGAATACAACTGCAGAAAAGCTCCGATCGGGGCTACTGAACAATGGCGAGGATCAGAGGATTCGAGGACCGTGATATAAAGAACAGATTCACACCAGGGAATGGTCTGATTTTGAAAGGTTTGTTGTACCACCAACAATCAACATCTGCACACTACTTTCGTGTGCTCCACAAAATCAACACAGACAGGTCTTTGCAGATACAATTTGGCGAGCTGGAAAGCAACACGCAGCTGACTTGTCCTTGTTGCGCACAGCCAATTTGTCTTTATTGCACAGCTCAAGTTGGTAAGCACGACAATACAATAATGTCCACTACTCCAACGAAGTGCATTGATGCAAACGAATGAGGCCACACGGGGATGTCAATTCACCTTTGGAGCAGTGGCCTCTCGTTGCTTCTTTACGTCCTTTAGAAGGTTCTTCGCCATGAGCTCACAGACATCACACCGGATATACTTAACATCGCTCTTGTTTGCCGGCGCTGTCTTCTTGGCAGATAAGACAACGAGCGGCGATGCACAGAGGAGGATATAAACGAGCACAGATGAAAGCAGGAGCCTTTTGGCCGCCATTTTTACCATCTCACGCCCCGCAACTCAACTACTAGTAGGATACTCACAGACAAGATAGGACTTGGCTTCGTGAGAGTATATGCCGCATATGCGTTGGGTGTGCGAAATGCATGCATGATGGAAGCAAGCAGCAGCGCTGAAGTTCTACTAGAACTTCTAGCACTTGGGAGAGATCCTATTTGCTGAAGTCATGCCTTTTACCGGAACTTTACACAGCTGTGCCAATCATAGCAAACGAAACTTGTCAATGAGCTATGGCGCAAGTTTGATAATGTTGGAAGTTTGCAATTGCGGTTGCAGAACTTCTTATTGGTTGTCGATGTATAAGAATACTTAGACGATTTTTGAACGGCTTGCAAAACGATTCATCCTAGTTGTGGATCATATTTGCACGCCGGCTGCATACCGTACCAGGTTCTCACAACCTGCCAGCAAGGCAAATGAACCTCGGACTAAAATTTGGGCCACTTGGAGGTCACCACGTCACTCCCCCTGTAAACCAACGAAGTGAAAGTATGTAGAAGGTCGAACCTAGGGTCGAAAAGCGCTCTATTGACCCCGGGCACTCTTTTGGGACTTATCCAGACAGTCCATATACTGAGTCCCCCTTTACTCGGGAGTGTGCAGTGGTCAGGAAATCTGTTCTGTCCGCTGTCTGGTCGTTTGGACAGCGTGGGCAATAATTTTACGACCTCACAATTCAGCAGATTAGCAGCGGGCGCGAGACGTCAAACACCGCATGCCGCTGGGTTCGCAGTGGGCTGCAACTTGGTAGGGTCAGAGCAGAAACTCAATGCTGCTTGCTTGAGCAACATGGTGACCATTCGCCAGGCACTAGAGAGCGTCCTGGGTGCCACTTCGGCAGATGTGGGTTGCATCCTCTTGCACTTGGAAAAGGCAGGCTTCAGGAGCGATGAGGCTGCAGAGGGCGTTTTCAAGCATGTGAAAGCAGAAAACCTCCCACAACCTGCTGAAGCTGCGCCTCTTACTTTCAAGCAGAAACTGATTCTTGATGAGGCAGTCTCTTCTGCGACAGGTGGGTTTTCAGGATTAGGACGCGGCTCTTCAAAGTTTAGGATGTAGTTCCTTGGATGCTTGGGTGAGGATACGTGCACGCGCCACTTGGAACTTCAGGTAGCGCAAGCACACTTTAGCTGTCGGAGCAGCAGTCTTTCTCAAAAGTCAGATTTGTGCAATAGCATTGTGTGAATGACTGCTTTCTGCTTCATGGTGGACGCTGTGATTCACACCACCCCAGTCAGAGGTCTTTCATCCTTCAGAGAAACATCACTTGACAATCAAGGTGTGGAATAGCATTCGTGCATGCTGCAATTGGCAGGGTGCCGGAGCTCTCTGGTTCATGGTAGACGCAGTGGTTCACACACCACCTCTCACACCACATCTCCAGGTGCCTGTTCAGAGTACTTCACTTTGCTTCCCGGGTTGTTTCACCTTCAGGCCGAATCGAGGTCACATGATTCCAGAGCTAGGTATTTGGTATGGAATTTGCTTGGCAGGAGCTTTTGTTACAGCAGCTGCTTGCTGCAAACCATCGCTTTTACAGGAATCACCTGCAGCTGCTGCGCTACACTCACAAACTTAAGCTATGTGACCATCATACTATAGGGCATGTAACCTCTAGGAAGTCACCTGCTGAATCCTCTGGGGTTAAAAGCATCAAAGAATTTGGTTTATGGTAGACGCAGTGACTCACACCCACCCCTCCATTGTGTTGGTTCCTGTTTGGAGCATGTCCTTCTGGTTCCCTGGTTTGGTTCGACCGTCAGGCTAGAATGACTTCACACGATCTTTGAGCTGGGTGTCTGTCATGTAACTTTCCTGGCCGCAGCCTTTTAAAACCAAGACTCATTCCCACGCCTAGGCCGTAAGTTGCTGTGCAATCAAAAGCAGCTGCATGCTTTTCATGCAGAGTCCAGCAACAAACCACAAAGGAAGGTCAGTAGGACGGGTCTGCGCTCTAGACCCAGTGCAACCATGCCAGTCCAGGAGGTAGACGAGAGGAAGTTGTGGGACCAGCACGTTGCAAGCAGACCAGTAAGTAGAGCTCCATGGCGCCCCTTCAGGAAGGAGCTGCAAGACGTGATGCTCTAATGTGCTCCTTTAGATCCTACAGATTGACAGTGCTTCATTCATTCTCGTCCTCTATGTAGCATGCACTGCTGCAGCAGCTTTTTGAGTTGTCTTTCACACTGCAGGTCAGAGCGCAGTGCCTTACATGGGATGCGGATGATCCTGCGACCACAAGCTGGCTGCCACTGGCTGACGACATTCTCGTGGAAGCCCGCTGGCTTCATCTGAGGCTCTTCGAGGGCCTGAATCGCGGCGACATTCAGGGGATCATCGAAGGAACTGGCTACGAACCAGTCTGGCATCCAGCCCTCCTCCGCTTTTTTCAGGTCAGCATCAGGCTTGCTTTCATGCATAAGCTGCGGTCTTCTCGGGTCGCGCAAAACCTGGAAATGCAAGCGAGATCCCGCTTGCTTCGTTCTTGCAAAACCAGTCATCCCTTCCAACACGACACATGATTGGAGTTGGCATGCCTCTGAAATGATTTCATGCAAGCTCGTGGCAGAACTTGTTTTTCTAATGTCGCTTAGATGGACCTTGCTTTTGTCTAGATGGCCTGCAGGTCTATGCTGGCTTTCTTCCCAAGCGCGTACTCGAGGATAGACTACTTCAAAGCAAGAGACTGTCTGTCTTGGATCGTGATCAATTGCTCCTGGTTGTACTCAGGCCGCTGCAGGAGGGCAGCCTGGTGTCAAGTATGAGCGGGAGCTGGAGAGCCCCGGCGACTCCGCTCGAGAAGATATAAGGGGCTTGATAATGAGGCCAAGTGAAGGGCAGCCACCGCTAGCGCCTGGTGAATGTAAGACTGACTTCAAGCCGTCCACCTCTGATGCCATCTTCCACAACGGCCAACAGGATGGGATTGCTAAGGTAAGTCAGGCGACGAGACTGGTGACTGCTCTGCTTCTCACTGTCCCGTGCTCTTTGCTGCTCTGGACCGTGCTTGGGCGAAGGGCTTGAGGCAAGAATGGAGATTGGGCCTGCTCTTTTTGGGGAGGGAGGGCTGGGCAGGGAGCTCTCAACCTCCTTGCTTGACATCTCTGAAAAGCATGGCCCCAGCGCCAAAATCTGCATGTTGCAAGCGCGTGCACTCGCGATGCCTCACTTTGCGGACTAATAGTAAGTATGGAGTTGGCCTGGTTCCAGATTTCTGGCGTAGTATGTCAGCAGCTTGACAGGTTGGAAAATCTGTATCTGATATCTGGTATGTGTGAGTTTGTGGATCAGGAGTAATGAATTAACGGGGTGAACAAATAGCGGTCACTTTTCTGTTGTAGTAAGATGAAATCTCTCGCTTCGTTTCCTTTGAAGGGGTCGACCAGCTGTCCCTGTCCGTCTCGTTCCATTTAGATTGTCCAAGCATCAACGGAAGAGGTCATTCATGTTGATCCTGAGTGCTGCCAACTCCTCTATGCAGTTGTTCAAAGTGTGCTGGTCAAAGTACTGCGGGTACGGTCGCACGTTCATCTGCGCCTTCGCCGTGCTCTTCAAGGCCATCTGGATCGTCAGACTTCGCTTCGTGGGCACCCCGGACAAAGACCTGCCGACACCGTCCGCAGATTCGGATGAGTCTGTGCTGCTCGGATGTGACGTAGTCCCTCATTTCCCATCTTCCTTCGAAATTGACCAAAGCGACCCCTGCCTTCTCTGCCCCGACACACTCACTCTCCTCAAAACAGAGCCGTCCATCCACGACCTCTCAGAGCTTCTGCTAGAGAGTGGCTTTCGCAGGGGAAGCTTTCGTGCCACTCCTGGGTTTCACCTTCTCGTCCGGTCAGTTCTCGGGCAGTGCAAACTGTGGGGGCTGCAGGCGGTCGAAACGCTGGTGCTTAAGCTAGACACGGGAGCGAGCTGGGGGCTCAGGAAACCGGAGTGTGAGGTGGTGGCCATGGGGGCTCGGTCACTTGTCCTGCGGCGGCAAGCAGCGGACAACTTTGTGATCAAGGTCGGAGCAAAGGAGACGATCGAGATGGAGGCCAAGATACACGACCGCGTGGACGGCAAGAGGTGCCCCCATATTCGGTCCTTGGAGCTAGATGAGCACGGGTGGGGTATGCGGGGCACAGTGCATGGAGCAGGTGAGCGCATCTGGGCTCTTCAGCAACCATATTTCCAAGCAGCTTGACACCGAGTGCACTTGCAGCGAAGAACTTTCCTTATGTCTGGTTACTGAATGCCTTTGATTAGGCTTTCAGACCGCTCTGCAAATAAAGCTTGCATCTTTTTGCTGGGTCAGACTCCTAAACCTCCTGACTCAATGCAGGCGATGGTCTCGCTTTCATGTGCTTGGCGGAATTCTGCACCGGAAGCCTGGAACCACACCACGTTGCAAGTCCTGTGCGCTTCCAAGAGTTCTTCACCCAGGTTTGTGTCCAAATCCAGGGCTTAAGAAGCTCATTTAACAGTGTCAGGCTAATCCTCGAAATTATCACGTCTGCAGCAGCGAATACGGTCAAGCATAACAATCTGAATCTTGTGCATGTTGAAGCGTGTATGCCCCCTATTCCGAATTTCCCGTGAAACCTGAATCTGCATTGCTGCTCACACAGGCCCAACAGGCGCTGCACGTCCTTCATGAGAACGGCATTCTACATCGAGATCTGAAGGCGGACAACATGCTCCTGACGTCCAATGGGAAGCTCTTACTGAATGATTTCGACGTTTCCACGTTCAAGGACGATAAGAGGGGCCTGAAGGCCTTAGTTGGCAATGACTATTGTCGATCGCCTTTTTTTGAGCAGAACCACGTTTCAAACAAAACAGATTACACAATCCGGGATGATAGGATGGGGCTTGTTTTGGCTTTCCTGCAGCTGCGGGGGAGAACCGGGAGTAGTTTCAAAGACAAGTATGCGCTTCTAACGGCGGCTAAACGGGACAAAGACTGCCCGCCAGAAATGCAGCAATGGATCAAGGATGCAGGCTTGTAACTACTTCGATGAGGATGACTTTGGGTAACTTTGCATGAATTCACAGCAAAGGCCCGGTGAGTCATCAGTCTTTCGCAGGGAGGATATTAGAATATCCTTCAATCATACAGGAATAGAGGATCTAGAGGACGAGGATAATACGCTTTCAAGACATTCTGTCGGATGATTCTGGAGATTTCAAGGCAGAAAATTTTGTCACTTTGTCACTTTGCATGAAATCTGCCAATTCAGTTGTAGACAATGTAGAATTGTACGTGGATCGTACATGACCAATCTGCATATGCTTGAAAGCCTATAGCATGACACCATTCATTAGTGCCTTCATAATTTCATGCAAGGGCGCTGCTGATCGCGTACAGAATACTTGTACGTGGCCATTGGGCAGATTAGCATACATGAATGATGGCGCGCGACTAACTATTCGCAACCGAGGCCAATAAATATTCTAACGTACTCTTGACCACGGGAATTTATGGTGCGACTTGCGGAGCTCGGTTCGACCGTACAGTTGCGCATAATATCAGCAAACCAAGTGAAGTTCGGACTAAAGTTCTGGCCAATCAGGGTGGGGCTTCTCAGCCCCCCCTCTAGCCCAAGGGGCTGCAATCAAGCGGACCGGTCGAAGGGCCTCTCCCCAGGGGCATAAGGCGGTCGACGCCAACCGGGGGGCGGCCGTTACCGCGCTCGCTCCAATCCGATCAGCACGGTAATGATTTCGCCCTGAGAGCACACTAGCTAGTTACTGTCCGAGTGTCCAAGCTTCAGGCACAGCGGTCAGTCACACTAGGACTCGGACGTCAGCAGCGCCGTATACTACAATATTGCCAGCATTTTACATGGTATGGCCGGTATACCTCGAGCCTTCCAGAAGGCATGCGAAGGTCTGCCAGCTGTCCAGAAATCCAGCACATCCAGCGGAATATAACAGTCAGCAGCCTGGAATATCCGGACCGGACTTGCTGGGACCCAAGTCATACCGAGGTAGAGTCAGGACTCCTGCATGCTGCTCAGCAGACGCCAATGCGGAATGTACACAGGCTGAGCCTCGGGCGCCCCTCTCCTTGCTGCTTGTGGTCAGATGTTCAGGTGTGCTTGTAGCGCCATGGAGCTGATGCGCTGCTGCTGCCTGTTGTACAGCTGACATTGGGGCTAGTTTGCGCTTACTTAGTATAGGGAATGACTCGGTTCAGCCTGGTGGCGCAACTTGGTAGGAACTCGGACCAGAGCAGGGCAGGCTTTTGCCCTCAAGTTTCGAAGTGATCAAGACTATTGGGCAACAAGAGACCGTGTTTGGCTGCTCAGTGCAACGAAGAAGAGTGCATCAGGTACGCATCTGAAAAGACAATGAATCTGATGAAGCTCTAATATATGTTTCACCATCCAGTGAACGTATTCTTCTGATGCTGCTTCTGATCGTGAGGTCGACGAAGAGCTGCAAGTGAGAAGAGGTTCGACAGAGCTGCTATTGGCATGCATATAATACGAGGTTGCGCCTCTTCAACCTGGTGCAAGTGAGCCAAGACCAGGGGGTTGTACTATGGGATTCGTTAGAGTTCTCAGCAACCTGGCCGGGTCGATCGTGTTAAAAAAAGAGGCTAACCTGTGACAGAAAGCAGAGGGGGGTCAGCTGCTCAACACATAAAAAAAAGCAGCTGCTGATTGGTTCTTTCCACAGAATCGTTCAAAAACTTATCAGCAATCAGGTTTTAAAGAGTGGCTGTATGTCACGATTCTTCTCGGCCCAAGGCCAACTCGCCATCTGGACCCGAACTGCTTCATTCAGGCCGGTCTAGATCAGTTTCTCGAAGGTGAGCCAACCTCCCGCAATGGTGAGGAATGTCAGCCCTGCCTTGATGCGATGGGTAGCAGAAGCGACGGAATCTTTAGGCTTCTGCTATCCTTCGCATCAGGGCCAGATTGTAATTTCAAAAATGCAGAAACAGGGGCGAAAAACCATTTGTTTCTATGGTAAGCTGCCGCGGGGGCCCCTCCGGGAGGCTGCTGCCTCGAGGCCTCCCTTCTCTCTACTTCAACTCTGTCTTTTGCTACATCAATGAGCGCTGTACACATGAAGATGCGCTTCATTAAGGTTAATTACCTATCTACCCGAGTCAGCTGATGGCTGCTGACGCCTGTGCACAACGGTGCTTGTTTGCAGGCGTCAGTGATTGATGCACACTGTGAGTGTCTGCCAGCAACGCCCGCAGTATCACAAGCAAACTGCAATGAAAAGCATTTTAAACTTACGGACCCAAGGGCGGCCATAGGCGTCAGTGTGTTTTGGGCTGCCCTCATGATCTGGAAGTATCAGCGCAATACGAAAGGGGTCTCTCTCACAGTATTGTATCTTTTGCAGGCCATGGTGGGTGGGGATGGTCCAGCATCAGTTGGGGCTCCAGCTGACCCTCCCCTCTCAACTGGCCCGCCCCTTACAGCCAACCCGCACCTTGCGCCGATCAGCAACGGCGAGTCAAGCACACTGGCAGGTTCGAGAAGCGCGCAGTCGCTCGATGGCGCACAGGAAGGCTTCGCAGAAAAGGTACATGCCTCGAGCAGACCACAAATAATCAGCGTGGCATGCTCACAGAGTGCCTTGCCATCGGCTTTGTTGGGTGAATCCGTGAGCAATTGGGCAAGGTGCGCATAGGGTTCAGACTCCTTTCAGCAGAAACAAGAAAGCGCCTTACTTGAGCGCCTCCTGGTCCTGCGTCGCTGTGCCTGATTCTCATAAGCTGTGCCCGCACTGAGGTGTGCCAGCACCGCTCACAGGCAAACGAGGTGTATCAGCCAACGAGCCCTAGATACTACAGCATGCGCACACCAGAGGAGATCAAGGCCACGCGAGCGGCGAGCGAGAAGCGGCGCCGCACCGGGGAACCCTTTCTGGAGGGCTTTTTCGAAGCTGGGCACCCAAGGGCACCCAAGAACGAGGTAGGAGTCAATGCTTGGAAAACAATCCTCTTGCACAGAAAGTGTGCCTTCTGAATAGTCGAGCCGATCTTATGTGAAAAATGCTACACGCTGCACTTGTCAGTGCAGACGGCTGTCCAAGGTGTCCAAGCTCTTTTGGAAACTCTTCTGGTGTTCAATCCTGATGACGCCAGCACCCGGCCATCCCACCCAGAATGCTTGCTGTAGTTGATCGCACAGACACCTGTCCAAGTGTCCGAGCTTTT